ATCCAGGTGACGGCGGAGACGGCAGCCAAGTGCAAGAGCAGCTCAGGAATGTTCAGCGCATCCAAGCAACTGTGGGCGCTTTTGCTGCCATTCTTGAATCCGGGGCTGTTGTGACTTGGGGTGATCCAGGCTATGGCGGAGACAGCAGCCAGGTGCAAGAGCAGCTGAGGAACGTCCAACACATCCAAGCAAGTAGACGTGCTTTTGCTGCTATTCTTGAATCCGGGGCTGTTGTGACCTGGGGTGATCCAGACTGGGGCGCAGACAGCAGTCAGGTGCAAGGGCAGCTGAGGAACGTCCAGCACATCCAATCAAGTGCTCGTGCTTTTGCTGCCATTCTTGAATCTGGGGCTGTTGTGACCTGGGGTGATCCAAGAGTTGGCGGAGACAGCAGCCAGGTGCAAGAGCAGCTCAGGAACGTCAAGCATATCCAAAGCCGTGCTTTTGCTGCCATTCTTGAATCCGGGGCAGTCGTGACCTGGGGTGATCCAAGCGTTGGCGGAGACAGCAACCAGGTGCAAGAGCGGCTGAAAAATGTGCAGCACATCCAAACAACTGCGTGTGCCTTTGCTGCCATTGTTGAATCTGGGGCTGTTGTGACCTGGGGCGATCCAGGTGACGGCGGAGACAGCAGTCAGGTGCAGGAGCAGCTGAGGAACGTCCAGCGCATCCAAGCAACAGTTACGGGTGCGTTTGCTGCCATTCTTGAATCTGGGGCTGTCGTGACCTGGGGTAATGCAGACTCGGGCGCAGACAGCAGCCAGGTGCAAGGGGAGCTGAGGAACGTACACTGCATCCAAGCAACTGACCGTGCTTTTGCTGCGATTCTTGCATGTGGCGCTGTTGTGACCTGGGGTGATCCAGACTACGGAGGAGACTCCAGCGAGGTGCAAGAGCAGCTAAGCTTGTAATCTGGTGTGTTTGCGCGTGGACAGCACATATGTGGGTTTGCGAAAAGCGTGCTGAAAGAAGAGAGCAGCAGGCGAACTTCACACTTGGGTTCAGCGTCTAAAGTGGGTGTTGTCATTCTCGAGGGCGCCATGTTTTGGCTTGCCAAAGGGAAGTCAAGGGGGCATGGGGCGACACCATCGCATGCAACGACGCGCACGAAGGAAGAGCGAGGCGAGCGCGCAATCTTCACCAGCTGTTTGTCCTTTTATCGTATCATTTGTTCCCGAGAGGGCGTCAAGGCATTTTTGAGGGTACTACTTTTGGGCTCTTTTGGGCTCTTCTAAAGGGAAGCAAAGAGGATTCTCCCCCTTCCCCCCGATTTTGCAGGTTGCC